ATCTCAACCAAGCAAGGGCGGCGTTTGCACCGATCCTCGGCCCAGGGTGGGCCTGGGCAGGATCGGTGTATGTGCATAGGTCCCTCCGCCCGACAAGAGGCCCTCCTGGTTTGACAGGCTTGCTCAGAACGTCTCCACTGGCCCTGGCCTCGGCGAGGACCATAGAGGAGCATCCTAGACCATCCGGCAAAAAAAAACGCGCAGGAGACCGGATGATACACACGCAGACATCCGCCGATCTGATGTTTCCATTGCGCAGCCACAGAGGTCCCGATTTCCTGTCCGGGGGCAGTTCCTCCTCCCGGATCCATGTCTGATGGCCCCCTGGCCCGATAACGGGCCCCGGGAGGCCGAAATCCAGAAAAAACACGCCAGATTGAAAAAAAACAATTCCTTGGATCTTTCGGCAGGGAACGCACGTCCGAGTGATGGCAAGTGGCCCTTATGCTTGGCCTCCTGAGGGCGGAGTAGGCGTCGCCGATGCATCGTCGATGCATCGCCGATGCATCGGCGATACATCGGCGATCCAGTGCACTCCTCCTACCCCATATACTCGGACCCCAGCGCCGATGCATCGGCGATGTATCGCCGATGTGTCGGCGATGCGGCGAGATCCTCCGACCCCATCTACTCGGACCCCATCGAGGAGGCCCTCTGTCTCGGCGCGCGGGGTCGAGAGGGCTGCAGCAGGCCCAGAAGCTGCGGGGTCTGGGCCTTTCAGATGGCCTTGGCCTTGGCATCGCTCGGACGTGAGCGCTATCTCTCGGCGATGACCATCGAGGAGCATCCTGGATCATCGTGCGCAAAAACCACGCACGACACTAACAAATACACGGGGAATAGACGTCCGAGCGATGACAGGAGGGGGCTGCAGCGGGCCCGGAAGTTTTGGGGGTCTGGGCCTTTCAGAGGGGGTCCGAGTAGAAGGGGTCGCAGGATCGCGCCGCATCGCCGATGCATCGGCGATGTGGCTCGATGTGGAGCCTGAGTCTCCACGCCGACGTCGCTGGTGAATCGCTGACGTCGCCGGTGGATCGCGATCCTCCGACCCCCTTTGCTCGGACCCCATCTAGAAGGCCTTCAAGGGGGCCCAGAAGCTGGGGGGGCAGGGCATCCCACAGCCCCCCGAGGGAGAGGAGGCGAAGGAGGACGAGGAGGGGCCTCCGATCGGGGGCGGCCAAGAGGGAGGTCATAACGAAGGTTAGGTGGATATCATGGCGGGGGCCGCAATATCTCCCTGGATAGGGCTCATTAGTAGTAGTGTTACTACGATTAGTAATAGCATTACTATGACGACTATTTTAATGAGTATTTTTCGTATCACTGTATTATTAGTAGCATTATCACTCTTATGATTTAGCATTCGTATTGTTATTCTTGTTTCAACACGTCCCCTGGCCCCCCCTCGTCCGCGCACATGCTTCGGGTCATGATTTGCAAACCCACCTCTTGGACGCCCCCGCCCCCAGGACCCGTGTAGCCGTTGCATGAGATTTTTTTTCGATGAGCATGATTTCAAGCGGAGTCTCAGACGAGAGCCCTGGCTTGAAAAAGTAGCATGTATGAGAGAGTCTCAGGCGACAGCCCCACATTGAGAACGTCGGCCTCCATCCGTGTAACTTTTGGACGCTAGCCAATTGCCTGCGGCAAACCCCGCCAGGGTTTGCGCAACAGCACAGCAGGAAGGAAGCTGGGTGTAGGAACAGCGCGATTCCGACGAGTAGTTTGCATTGGGGCGGGTCGTGATCCCAACCTTGTGTTCGTCCGCGCGGTAGGGAGAAGGAGGAGAAGGAGGAGGAGGAGGAGGAAGAAGAAGACCAGTGTAAACCAAAAAAACAATCAACGATACTGGAATCAACCCTCCCTGTAAGTTCCCCCTTCATCGCATTCCTGGGACTTCAACACCGCGCGAATCATCGTGACTGTTGCGCCCTGGCATTCCGACATCGTGCCAAAACACCATCTCTGGGACGTCGACCATGAGAATCCTTGGAACTGCTGCAAACTCGAAAGATGAATATGCGCGGCGCTCAGGCGAGAGCAACATTTTGACAAGGAGCCGCCCTCAACCCGTGAAACTCCTGTGATGGATGATACGAATGTGCGCGGCGCTGTGGCGAGAGCCACGTTCTAAAGTCGGACCGCCCTCCACGCATGAAGCGCCGGCAAATGTTTGAAACGCGTGCGTGCGGCGCTAAATCGAAAGCCGCATGTTGAAAGCGGGCCGCCCTCCATCCGTGAAGCTCTCGCCACGTGTGTCAACGAATGTGCGCGGCGCCCAAAGCGAGAGCCCTCCACCCGTGGAACTGCTGCAAAGTCCAAGCTTCGGGACCACGAATGATGAGGAAGTCTCAGGCCTAACGCCTGGCCCGCCCTTTCGACCAGCCTCGGTGTGCGACAGGGAGGAGTGATTCATAAGGAAGAGGGATGGAGGAGGAGGAGGAGGAGGAGGAGGAGGCGGAGGAGGAGGAGGAGAAGGAGTGGGAGAAGAGGATGAGGAGGAGAAGGCTTCTTGGGGCCTCCTGGGGGCCTCCTGGGGCAGCTTGGCCTTGGGGACCTCACTAGGCCGCGTTGGCGCCCTCTCGGAGCGATTCACTGCCGTCTTTGGGTCCTCTTGGGAGCCCTTTTGAGCGATCTTTGGATCCTCTTGTGCCGATTTCGGGCCCTCTTGGGGGCCTCTTAGCTTGTCTTGGAGCTATCGTGGATGCCTCTTAGAGGCTTCTTGGGCCGTCTTGTGTGGTCGGAAACACGAACAGGTGATAGCTTCATAATCCTTCAAAAAACTATGGAACATCAATGGTGTTGGCCTCCTCGGGCTCTCCGGGAGGGCCTATTGGAGGCCTCTTGGGCCATCTTGGGGGCTTCTAGATCTCTCTTGAGGCTCTCTTGGGAGCCGTCGTGCGCCATCTTGCGTCATCTTGGCTGCATTGAAAGCCGTCCTGGACGCCATGAGGCTCCCAATCAGGCCTCAAGACAGATCAAGAGGCCCCCAAGACGGCCCAAGAGGTTTCCAAGAGGCCATACAGGAGAGCCCGAGGAGGCCAAAACCACTGGGCCTCTTGGGCGATCTTTGGTTCCTCTTGGGCCGACTTGGGGCCCTCTTGGGGGCCTCTTGGGCTGCCTTGAAGCTATCTTAAAGGCCTCTCTGAAGCCTCTTGGGTCGTCTTGGGTGGTCGGAAACTCGAGCTGCCGCGAACCTCAAAATCTTTCAAAAACCTACGGCTGACCAATGGTGTTGATCCCCTCGGGCTCTCCAGGAAGGCCTCTTGGAGCTCTCTCGGGCCGTCTTGGGGGCCCCTTGGGCCGTCTTGAGGCCCTCTTGGGCTACCTTAAGCCATCTTGAGGCTCTCTTGAGAGGCTCTCGGGATGTCTTGGGCCATCTTGAACCGCTTTGTTGTCGCACTGGCTGTCTTAGAAGCCGTCTTGGAGGTCTTATTGGCCGTCCGGAGGCCGAAAAGACCACCAGAAGATAGTTTCAAAAGGGGCGGTTTGTTGGGGGCGCGCGCGGCGAGGGGGTGGGAACACAACGTATTCAAACACGCCCACTCCGTGCAGGCACTGTGGCGGATCCATCTGCTTGCGCTTAGTCTGGTCACCGTGCCCGCCCAGCATTTGGAGTGGCGAATGTTCGAGGGGCACCGGAGGCCGTCACATATGACACCTCGTGTCCTCAATGTTTGGGGAGCCGTGATGAGGACGATGGTGTTGATGATGATTGGAGGGTGATAGTGATGGTGATGATGACGATGGTGATGATGACGATGGTGGTGATGATGATGGTGGTGGTGATGATAGTGATGATGATGAGGAGGATGATGATAGATGGTGGTGGTGGTTATGATGATGGTGGTGGTGATGATGGTGATGTTGATGATGATGGTACTGATGATACTGATGATGATGCTGCTGATGATGAGGATGATGGCGATGATGGCAATGGTGAAAGTGCTTTTGATGGTGATGATGAGGTGGTGGTGGTGATCGTGGTGATGATGGTGATGGTGATGGTCGTGGTCGTGGTGGTCGTGATGGTGTCGCTAATGATGATGACGATGACGATGCCATTGATGATTGTAGTGATTGAGGTGGTGATGGTTGTGGTGGTGGTGAGGAGGAGGAGGATGGTGATGAGGAAAAGGAGGAGGAGGAGCAGGAGCAGGAGCAGGAGCAGGAGGAGAAGCAGGATGAAGGCCGTCACATGTGCCGTCTTTCGTCTTCACTTGTAAGTGCGCTCGTGGAGTTCATAGCAGTATTGGGGTTCCCTGCAGCCTCGGGAGAAAGGAGAGGCCACGCAGCCCGAGCGTGTCCGGGAGGGGGGGGGGCCTAGAAGATTGCAGAAAACTTGCCAGGCAGCAGGCATTCTACCACGCCTCAACGTGCCAGGGGCCACGGTGGCGGATTAAGACGAATGCGCGCGGCGCTAATGCGAGAGCCACATTTTGAAAAAGCCCCCCCCCCAATCCGTGAAATTGCTGGCAAAGTCGAAGACTAATTTGCGCGGCGCTGAGGCGATGAAGCGAGGACCACATGTTAGAAACCATAGGACAGTAAATTGAAAGGACATCTCAAGCGAAACGCCCAGCCCAGCATACGGGCACACCTGGTGGTGTGACAGGGAGGAGCTCTATGTACAAGGAAGAGGGATGGAGGACGAGGGGGAGGAGGAGGAGGAGGAGGAGGAGGAGGAGGAGGAGGAGGAGGAGGAGGAGGAGGAGAAGGAGAGAAGGAGGAGGCAGGAGGAGGAGGAGGAACACAGGAAGGAGGAGAAGGAGGGCAAGGGGCGAGGGGGAGGAGGGGAGAAGGAGGTGGGGGGGAGCCGGAGGAAGAAGGAAGAAGAGGAGGGGAGGAGGAGCAGGAGGGGTGGGGCAGGAGAGGGGGAGGGAGGAGGAGGAGGAGGAAGAGAAGGAGGGGGTATGGGCAGAAGGAGGACAAGGACCATCTAGCAGCCGTCGGCGTGCGTCTCCGGCGCGCCCAGCGGCCTCCGCCTCCCCCCGTCCGAGGTCCAGGCGGCGGCCCGATGTTCCCGCGAGCGCCGCCGACGCCGAGAACGTATGGGGCGACATCGACACCACCAAGGAGCGCGGTGCGGCAGGGGCGGAGGGCAGGAAGGGAGAGGAGGAGGCAAGGGCGGCAGGAGGGAGGGAAGGAGGCAGGCAGGGGAGGGAAGGAGGAGAGGCAGGAGCGGGAGGCAAGAGGGAAGGGGGCAGGAAGGGAGGGAGGGAGGAATGGCAGGAAGGGGATGGCAGGAGGGAGGGAAGGCAGGGGCGGGAGGCAGGAATGCAGGGAAAGGGCGGGAGGCCGGAGGGGAGGGTAGGAGGTAGGGAGGGGCCTCAGAGGAGGGCGAGCTGAGGCAGCGGCACAGTGGAAACCCATGCCAAGAAACGCCTCGCTCGCCTCCGGGGTGCCCTGGGTTTCTTGGGCTCCGATGGCTTTGCTGCAGAGAGCGTGACGCTCCCACACCAAAACAATCATTGTACGTCCTGGGGTATCAGGGTTGGGCTTACTGTGGAAGGTTTCTCGTGGTCGAGCTCCTATTGTAATCGGCCCTCGACGCTCGTCGCCACGGCTGGACGCAGCTCCGAAAACCGGTGCGCTTGGATCTCGGGGGGGGGGGGGCGGAGACCGACTTCGAGCGGCCGGTGGCCCCCCACGCGCCCTGCTCCGAGGGAGAAAGAGCTGGCAGGGCCCCGCGCGGCCGCGGGCGTGAAGCGCCAACAGGAAAGATCAGGGAGGTACACCACAGGCGATGCTTAAGAAAACTCAAGGTTTCGGCCAGAGTCTCGATTATTCTTAATGTTTCAATGTAGATCCTAAGATTTGAATAGACATTCTGGATGTTTATTCTAATTCTGAGACTATGAATTTCTTAACCCATGGTTTCTAAAGCATTTCGCAGGGTGTAGGCAGGGAGCGGAGAGATCGAGAAAGCGCAGACACGGATCAGGTCGTGCGGATTGGCGACGGGCCCCGCTTCCGCACCAGATCGGCGCGCTCCCTCGCCCAATCAGGCGGCATCGGGGTACGCTCCACGATCCATGGACTTGGCGCCCGCGCGCCAGGTCCACGGACTCGTACTCCACGCTACGGCAGGTTCGCGTCGTGTCGACCGGCGGCGACCCCGCCGCCAGCGCTCCACGTTGACCTCCGGCGGCGGCCCAGCATCGGCCGACGTTGAACGATCGGACGTTACGGAAACGGCCAGTCCTTGAATAGGGGAACAAAAAGTGGCATAAACATAAAAACTCGGAGGTCCGCGCGGATTTCTCGGATCGGCGCTGGACCCCCCTCCCTGGCGCGCGGAGCGCGCCAGGGGCGCCGCCGGGGGGCCCCAGCGCCGATCCGAGAAATTCGCGCGGACCTCAGAGTTTTTATGTTTATGTGATTTTATGTTCCCCTATTGAAGGTTGAACGATCCCCGCAGTGTCAAGAGCCAACGCCGGGGTCGACACGACACGATCCTGCCGTGGCGTCTGCCCGAGGAGAGCTGCTTCGGCCGGTTGGGTCCCGCCGCGGCCGCGCGGCCCCGGCGGCTCCCGACCGCCCTGAAGCGCCAAGCCAAGAAGGAAGGAGGGCTGACGGGAGGGAAGCAGAGACAGGAGGGAGGAGGGAGGACAGGAGGGAGGAGGAGGGAGGGAAGGGAGGACAGGAGGGAGGGAGGAGGGCGGCGACAGGAGGGAGGAGGGAGGGAGGAGGGAGGGAGGGAGGGAGGGAGGGAGGGAGACAGGAGGGAGGAGAAAGGAGGGAGGGAGGACAGGAGGGAGGGAGGAGGGAGGGAGGGAGGGAGGGAGGACAGGAGGGAGGGAGGGAGGGCCCAGGGGCTCCAGAGGCCCCAGACGACGGCAGAGAAGGGCCCCGAAAGCGAGGCGCCAGGCCAGGGGAGGCAGGGGAGGGGGAAGCGGGGGGTGTACCGGCGGCACGGGGAGGGGGAGGGGGAGGAGGAGGAGGAGGAGGAGGAGGAGGAGGGAGGAGGAGGAGGAGGAGGAGGAGGAGGAGGAGGAGGAGGAGGAGGAGGAGGAGAGGGAGAGGGAGGAGGGAGGAGGGGAGGAGGGGAGGAGGGAGGAGGGAGGAGGGGAGGAGGGAGGAGGGAGGAGGGAGGAGGAGGAGGAGGAGGCGCGGCACTCGCTGGCGGACCTGATATCGCTCGGGCGCGCGCCGACAGCGACCCAGACACGCGTGATGGAGGGCCTGCGCGCGTGGTAATGGCATGATTGTCCAGAGTGGACTGCGCGCGTTCCCCGTGAAGTCGCGGCAGCAGCAGCAGCAGCAGCTGCAGCTGCAGCTGCAGCTGCAGCTGCAGCGACAGGGCAGCAGCCGCGCGCGGCAGGCGGCGCATCAGCGGGAGCACTTGGGGGGGCAAGGAGGTTGTTGTTCGACGCGCGGTTTCGTTGGGGCGCGTGCTCGGCGCGCACCACATCTGCTCGCTACCCGCGGCCAAGAATCACAGCAGGAGGTTGCCAACAGATTGACAATAGAAGAGAGGCAAACCGGAAGGCGAACATCGCAGAGCTATAACGGCTGCGGATCTTCAAACCTCAGCAGAAAGGAGCAAGGAAGGAAGCAGACGCGCAGCAAAGCGGAAAGACAACGAGGCCCCAATTGAGCAGGAGCGTTTCGGGGAGAAGCGTGGCTGCGCGGCGCTCTTCTTGAGGGTTCGCAGGCGTTCTGAGCGGCAGTTGTTTCCCATTTCCCAGACCGTCTCGGGCAACTTCTCGAGCCCAAGATGACCCGAAGGCGCCCTCACGATGGCCCTGGAGGGTCCTCCTAGGATAATGCCCATGCTCTTTACGCACCAGTCAAGATGAAGGTATGCGTGGATGGCAGCACGCAATATATGCAAGGATCCGGGTCTGAAGTTTTAACCACGCTGGCGCCTGCCTCCGTTCACCTCGCGCGTCAGCTGCAAGGCATGGGCTGCACGCTTTCTTCCCAGTCAGCGTTGGCGTGCAGCAACGTCTATTTGGGTCGTCGCCTTGCAGGATCAAGTTGCAGGATGCAGCTCGAGTTTGGGGGGCCATGGCTTCTGCGAGCAAAAGAGGAGCCACTGTTAAGTTGATGTGGAGACGCAACCAGGCCTCTAAGAAGGCTAAACAAGCTGCCTTTGTGATTCACATCGTCGGCGCCGCTAGGAAGCTGCATAAGCATGGGCCCCTTGCGGTCGGGTCGCAGAGCCAGCAAGTGTTGGGCCTCACGAGTGGTCAGATCCACTCCATGAGGGCCCAGGCGGATTTGCGTTCTGGGCGCTGGGCCCCCGGCGCCTGTGCCACCACGGTTCACCACGGTTCTCGGTTTCATCATCCCCGCCAAAATTGGCCCCCAGCTTAGGCTTCGCCATGAACTACGGGTTGTTGTCCATGAAGTTTGGGGAGACTTGGGCCACCATGAAAGGATGCAGGTGGCCCAATGTTGGGATTTGTCAGCCAGTGCCCTTCGGCTTCCCCACAGGTGGTTGAAATCACGGGGGCCCATGGCGGCTACCATTGCTGTCTTACTCGATTTGGGCGTGGACCCTAAGACCCCAGCGCATTGGATGTTCCAGAACGATGTGGGCATGAGGCTCCACGATATTGATTTTCAGCACGCGCCTTGGGTGAACCTGCAGAGGATCTGCGGCACTCGGTCCTGGAGCATGGCCTCCAAGTATTATGAGGGAGAAATGTTGGAGGGAGGAACTGATTTTACCGTTCCCCGTCGGTTTCGAAGAGATCTGGAAAAGACTGCGCCTTTGAGGCCGTTGGCATGGTTCGTGACATTATGACGGCTGGTGTTTGGACTGAAGACAGGCCCCTGCAGGCCGGGGCACGACTCCGCGACGGGTGGTCGGTGCCTTAGATGCGGGCGAGCGCCCGAGGCCGCTGCCCGTCGTCTCTGGGAATGCCGATGCAGTGGACTTCATCGATGGCGCGATCGAGCGATCGGAGTCGTCGGTCGCCGAGGCTACGTGCCCCAGTGCTTCCCCTGCGTTTTGGCACCGTGGCCCGCCATCTCTCCAGAGCGCTGCTGGGCACCTTCCTGGGCCTCTTGCGTGGGTTTGGGGATGGGGGAGATTGCGGGATGGAGCTAGGATTCGTAGAGGAACGTGGGGGATCGAGGGGTCTGGAGGTACATGCATGAAAAATTGGAGGCTTCGCCGATGCGGATGGTCAGTCGCGCGCCAAGGTGCGGACCACCAGTTTGACGGCATAGCGCGCGGCACGTTGCCAACACAGGTGCAGACCGCTGGCAGGGCCGAAGTTTTTGCCTTGATCCAGTTGCTGTCCCGCTCGTTCGGCCCTGTCTTCGTTTTTTATTGCGATAGTCTTGCTGCGGTCAAAGGTGCGCGGCAGCCTATTAGATGCAAACGTAGAGCGTACACGTTGGATCTGTGGAAGGTACTCCACGAGACCCCTGAGGCCAGTGATGGACCGGCCGAAGTTCGATGGACCAAAGGCCGCCCCACCCAATCCTAGGCATATGATACGCGCCACAATGAGTCTGGATTTTATGTTAACAAAAGTGCTGATTTCTTGGCCAATAAGGCGGTGGAGCGTGAACAGGTGTCAGGAGAATTGGCTCTTCGCACGGCGTTGGCCGACGAACGGGCTCTCAAGGTTTTGCGCCGTCTCCTCGCCGTCCAGAGGGAAGTCTGTTTGCTGGTGAACGTGGCCCGCTTCCCGCGCGCGCCCTGGGCCACGCTCGTCTGTCCGCTCTGGGCAGAGAGGGGGAGGGAGAGAGAGAGAGGGAGAGAGAGAGAGAGAGAGAGAGAGAGAGAGAGAGAGAGAGGAGCGAAGCTTTCACACTGAGCAACTGCAGAGCGGGAAGTATGAGGCCTACTGCGCGCACCTGGCCATTCAGAAGAAACACGATGCGCTGCTCCTGGCCAAGCAGAGGGACGACCTGCGCAGGCTCACGAAGAGGGATTACTTCGTCGAGACATGCGCGGCCGCCCTGTCCGACCAGACGCCCAGAGCTTCAGGCCTGGACCTCGATCTGGACCTGGACAACGACGACGGCTTCCAGGTCTCCACTGCCGGCGTCGACGCCGAGCGGTTGAAGGCCAAAGCCACCGCCATCTACGCCAAGGCGGTGGCTCGAGCTTCAGACGAGAAGGCTCGCAAGCAGCAGGAGAAGGCCAAGCAGGACCAGGCCCAGGAGAAGCTGATCCAGCAGATGACGGGGACGAGCCCTGCGAACCTCTTCAACATGGCCGTGGATGCTCGTGCGATCGCTCGCCAGCGCGTGCCTGGCCGAGCAGGTCCGGCAGGTGGCGGCACCATAGCCGCCCAGGCGGCATCCCTGTACACCTCCACCATGGCCGCTGGCCAGTCCTCTGTCGACCGCGCCGACGCCGTACGCCTTGCTGCCTTATCAAAAAACGGCACGCCCCCGCCCGGACAGGGCGGGGGCAAGGACAAAGGCAAAGGCAAAGGGCGAGGCGACCCGAAGGGCAAGTCCAAGGGCAACGGGAAAGCCACGCCCTCCCCCAAGGGCGAGTCAAAAGGGCAAGTCCAAGGGCAAGGGCAAAGGCAAGAGCAAGGCATCCGGCAAGACGAGCGCCGGGAAGGGCGCTGGCGCACGAGGAAGCGCGAGAGGGTCTGGACGCGGCAGATCCGCCGGAGGCAGGCGGCGAGGGAGGGGGACGTGACGGTGAGGCTGGCCCGTTTGTTCCTGCAGTTCACTCGTGATCTCCCGCCCCTGATTTCAACTCTTTGCTTTCGTGTGATGATAAACCAGTTTATTTGTTTCACCCGCGTTCGAATTGTGCGACTGTTCCTTCAGGTACCAAGCTGGCCTGGCCAGTCAGGTTTTTGCTTACGATGTTTCATCGAAAGCACGTGTTTTGCATGACACCCAAATCTTCTTTGTCTCACGTTTCTCTTGCCCTTTGGAATTGGGAGCATAAGCTTCGTTGGAGATGGTTTTTCGGATCTAACGCCGAAGACCCAACAGCCGGCGAAAGTTGGTGGCGGCTGCGATCCAAGAAAAGATATTGCAAGCCGTGTGATGTTGTATTGCCTCTGTCTCTGCAGTGCATGGTTGACGCTGTCAGGCGTGAGGTCTGGCAGGCGTGCCTTGTACAGAGCCGGCGTCGCGCTCCGCCAGTGCCCGCAGTGATTAGGCTTGCTCTCTCCCTCCTCCAAAAAACGGGCGTCGGGGCGCTCCCCACAGATAAAGATGCTGGTTTTTGTTTAATCCGCAAGAGCGATTTGCACAATCGCTACATGCATCTATTGTCTGGCCCCGCTTACCGAGTGAAGCTCGCTCCATACAGTTTTGGGGCGACAGTGGTAACTGATTTCATCGAGGCTGTTCGCGAAACGTGCAGGGTTTTAGATGACAGGGCGCTCGAGCGAGCCATGCTTTCGGACGTGGACGCGAGCCGGTGCGAAGACATCGCGTCGCGCGTTGGGGCCACCGTCAAGACGCACAAGCCTCCTGGCAAGGTGGAGTTGCGCCTCCTCCACTGTAGCGTTCGTAATCCGATGGCTCCAGCAATGCGGTGGATCTCCCACGCGTTGCTCCCTCATCTTAGGCGCGTTCCGTTTCTGGCTCGCGACACCCAGCACCTATTACAGATCATGTCGCGCACAGTCGTGCCAGCCGATTGCCACTTAGTTAAAATAGACATAAAAGAATATTTTATGTCTGGTTTGCATGCCGATCTTGTCACACATTCCTCAGCTTTTTTCGACGGCGTCCAACAAGACGCATACGCCAAGCTGCTGCGTGCGATTTTGGATTGCCAGTACGCGGCGTGCCCCACAGCGCCCGACAAGGTCTGGAAGGTCACCGTCGGCGCTGGCATGGGACTCCCTTGTAGTGGGGAGGTTGCTGACGCAGCGTATTTCAATCAAGTTGAGCGCGACACCGTGTCTCAAGATCGTTTCTGTGAGTTGCACGGCATAGTAGTTTATATTAGGTATCGCGACGACATTCTGCTGGTGCATTCGGGGTCCAGAGCACAGCTCGATGCCCTTATTGGCAGATTGCAAGAGCTGTCTACGGTGTTTAAGCTAGAAGTTGAGAGTATCGCCTCCGATGAGGTTCAGATGCTCGACGTCGTGTTTTACCGTGGGCCCCGCTGGCGCTCCACGGGCATCATGGATCACCGCATCCATATCAAGCGGTCGTCTTTGTGGATCCCCCTCAGCGATCGCAGCATGCATCCCGCCGGCGTGCACCGAGCATGGCCGCTCGCACACGCGCTCCGCGTGCGCCGTTTGTGTTCGGAGCGGCAGCACGCCGACAGTGAGATCAAGAAGTTTTGTAGCATTTTGCGTCAGCATTCCTCACGCATCGCACTATTACCACGAATCTTGTGGGTGCGGCCCCCCATTGTTCGCCTCCCTGGCTCGACTGTCCATGAGCAACAGCCTTTGACTCGTATTGTAATGCCGTGCTGCAGCCAGTGGCAGGCTGCAGGCGTGCAGCGTGTAGTAAATCGCGCTGTGAAGCCATGGCGCTCTCAACACGGAGGCTTCTCCGCCATAGGCATCGCATGGAGTTTGGGCGACAAGCATCTTGTCCAGATTGTCAAGTCGTATAACAGCTCTCTCGAAGAAGGGGGCTGCGGCTTGCGCATTTTATGCACTGCGACTCGATAGTGGTTGGTTGGTTGGGGCTGGTTGGTGGACGCATTGTCTTGCATTGTCTTCTCGGCATCAGTGCCACAACGTTGACGGCAGGCAGCGCATCTCTACATAATAGTGTTTTTGCTCGAACTCGCTGAGCAAGCAAGGATACAGCCAAGGTAGCAGAGTCTTGGCCGAGCACCAAAACATCATCGCCAGAGCGTGTGCGTTGCCCATTCCCTTCCCCGCGTGGGTTTGGGAATGGGGGAGATGGCGGGATGGAGCTAGGGATTCGTAGAGGAACGTGGGGGATCGAGGGGTCTGGAGGTACATGCATGAAAAATTGGAGGCTTCGCCGATGCGGATGGTCAGTCGCGCGCCAAGGTGCGGACCACCAGTTTGACGGCATAGCGCGCGGCACGTTGCCAACACAGGTGCAGACCGCTGGCAGGGCCGAAGTTTTTGCCTTGATCCAGTTGCTGTCCCGCTCGTTCGGCCCTGTCTTCGTTTTTTATTGCGATAGTTTTGCTGCGGTCAAAGGTGCGCGGCAGCCTATTAGATGCAAACGTAGAGCGTACACGTTGGATCTGTGGAAGGTACTCCACGAGACCCCTGAGGCCAGTGATGGACCGGCCGAAGTTCGATGGACCAAAGGCCGCCCCACCCAATCCTAGGCATATGATACGCGCCACAATGAGTCTGGATTATATGTTAACAAAAGTGCTGATTTCTTGGCCAATAAGGCGGCGGAGCGTGAACAGGTGTCAGGAGAATTGGCTCTTCGCACGGCGTTGGCCGACGAACGGGCTCTCAAGGTTTTGCGCCGTCTCCTCGCCGTCCAGAGGGAAGTCTGTTTGCTGGTGAACGTGGCCCGCTTCCCGCGCGCGCCCTGGGCCACGCTCGTCTGTCCGCTCTGGGCAGAGAGGGGGAGGGAGAGAGAGAGAGAGAGACAGAGGAGTGAAGCTTTCACACTGAGCAACTGCAGAGCGGGAAGTATGAGGGGGAGGGGAGGAGGAGGAGGAGAAGGAGGAGAAGGATGGGGCAATGGGAGGAGGAGGAGGAGGAGGGGGAGGAGGAGGAGAAGGAGGAGGAGGAGGAGGACGACGACGACGACCCCTCGCGGACCCGAGGTGGATGTGGGCCGCCTCGCACCGCGGATCCTGGAGGCTCAGAGGCGGGCGTGAGGGGAGGGCGGCCGCCGGGGGGGTCCTTAGGGCGCCACCACGCTCGCCCAGTGCAAGTGTGGTCCGTCGGAGAGGGGCGGTGTTCAGGCCGTGCCGAATGTGGTCTTTTGGAGAGGGGCGGTGTTCGGGGGCAGTGCCGAGGGGGGTCACAACCAGAGTCGGCCAGCGAGCGAGGGGAGGAAGTGAGACGGAGGAGGCCTTCTCCAAAGGCGCGAGGGCTTCTCAGAAGCCCTCGCGCCTCCTGAGAAGAATTTTCTGAGTCGTCGGGAAAGGCTTAGTACACTCCTCAGAAGGCCAGGGGACTTCCGAGCCTTCTGAGAAGGCCCGCCTGTTCTCACTTCCCCCCAGGCTCGCCGCCAATGGAGAGGTCACCAGGTTATCCTGGAAAGAGAGGTTCAGCATCGAAGCTCGAGGAGGTGTTTAGACATTTGGGGTCATGCTGGAAAGCTCTGGAGACTGGGGTGTTCTCAGGCCCACGTCCTCGAGGCAATTGTGCTTCCTTGAGGAAGAGTCGACCCCCCCGGTGGCGACATCCCTTGGCACTGCCCCAGGTGTTCACCGAAAATGTTGTCCGCTGGGATGTCCTTTAGAATCCTAGTGCCAAACGTCCAGGCAAGCTTCAGCACTACAGCATGGATCACATTCCGTAATCAAGCCGGTGGCACAGAAGAGTGGCAGGAGGGCGCCAGCTTCTTGCGCTTGCCCATAGAGCCCGTCCACTGAGTACACATCGGGGCAGCGCTGAACGATCGTCTGAATGCTGCGTGGACTTCCAGTCTTTGTCTTCGCGTGTCACTCCGCCGGTTCTGGCCCACCACGATTTCCAATCCCCAAGCATCAATGTCCCGAGCTTTCCCCAGCCTCCCGCCCTGCGAGGCAGAGCGACACCCTATCAGCTTGCAAAACATAGCGTGTCGCTGAAGCCGCCGCCGCGAGACGCCAGGCAAAAGCTCCCGAACGTAGATCCCAGAGCTCTGACCGACGTCTTGATGCTCTCAATACGGGGTTCCCAGAGGTCCCGACACGTTCCCCAGGGCCGGCTTTTCATCACGAACTTGGGACGGTCTTGAGAGCTTAGCGAGGGCTCCCGGAGTCCAAGAAAGGCGAACAAGTTGTGCGTCGTCATGTGCTCATGACGCGAGCATGCCTGCTCCTCTTGCTCCTCCCCCATGCTACTCCTCCTCCGTCTCCCTGTCGCTCCCGGCGTCTCCCTCACTCTCCCCTCCTCCACCTGTTCCCTCCTCCCTCCTCCCCCCTCCCCTCCTTCACCCGCTCCCTCCGCCCTCTTCCCTCCGCCCCCCCCCCCTTCCTGCCCGTACCCCTCCCTGCTCCCTCTCCCCGCCCATCCTCCTGCGGGCACCTCCCCGCGCCGTGCAGGAAGCCACGACGGCAAAAAAAGGCTCCGTGGGGAGGTCGGGGCTCGGCCTCCTGGCGGGAGGGGCCCACTGCCATTGCTGGGCCAGCCCCAGGGGGGGGGGGGGGTCGTCGAAAGTTTGGGGGCGAGGAGCGAGGACGCGGGGGTTTGGGGGGTTGGAGTGCTTGGGCCGTCGAAGATTTGGTGGCGTGGGCCGTCGAAGGCTTGGAGCTGGGCCTCCCTGGGGGGGGGGGCCGGCTCGGGGCGAGGAGTCGGTCCTGGGGCGGAGCTGCCCAGGCCTCCAGGGTGGGGAGGGGGGCCCCGCGCTGCGAGAGGAGAGCACGGCGTCGGAGGACTGGCGGACGTTGTGGCGCGCACCCCGGGGGCGGGCCCTCGCGCCACGAGCGGCTACGCGCAGGGGTGGCCCTTCGCCGGAGTGACTGTGGAGCGCAGCTCTCGGAGCGCGCGCGGGTGCCAACCCCAAGCACGCAGGCCGCTACTGTCGCATCGCGACCAACTGTTATTCTTGCCATGGGCCACTTGCGTGTAGCAAAGGTCAGCGCCGACCCAAGATGTCCGCGCGGGCCTCTGAGAGTTCATGCCCATGCCTGTCTCTGGTCCTCAGCGAATGTTGCGTCGGATGTTTGGGCGCTGTGCCACCTCGGAGGCGAGGGGCAGATGCCTTGCGACCAGACTCCACCTCTCCTCCTGCCACTAATTTTCCTCCTCCTCCTCCTCCTCCTCCTCCTCCTCCTCCTCCCCATCCCCCTCCCCCTCCCCCTCGTCATAATCATCCCCCTCTGTTTTCTCCTCCCAAATTCCCGTCTCTGCCTCCTCCCCATCATCATCATCATCATCATCATCATCATCATCATCATCATCATCATCATCATCATCATCATCATCATCATCATCATCATCATCATCATCATCATCATCATCATCATCATCATCATCATCATCTCATCATCTCATCATCTCATCCTCATCCTCATCCTCATCCTCATCCTCAGCAGCAGTTCCCTTTTCCCCTTCTTGCCCACCACCAGGAGGGGAAGGGAAAGGATACTCTAGAACGCTGAGAGCGTTTTGGGCTTCCTGGGCGGTCTGGGGAGTTCTGGGCAGGCAGGGAGGAAGAGCTGGAGGACGACTACCTGATGCTTCCTCTTGGGCGGCGTCCCAGGGCTTCTTCGGCTACTTGGGTATATCCCCTCCCCTCTCCTCCCCCCCCCCCGTCTGAGTGTTCGTGCTGGCGAGCCGACGAGAGAATTCTCTGACCGCACAGCTTTCTTAGCGATGCTGCTTTTCATGCGATGACCACCTCGCGGAGGAGGACTGGTCCTCTTCACTTCCTCTCTTCCCTCGATTGGGGGCGCCCATCCGAGGCACATACCGGTCAAAGAGGCGCGCGTGATGCACTCGCTGCGGAATGCGCACGACTGTTATGCGTGAGTCTCAGCTGAAGGATCGCATCCATGTCGGGGCGTCCCGGCAGGGGTCAACTGAGGCACGTCGACCGTGTTGCAAAGTTGGTATCAGAAGGACGTGCAGAGTTCAAGGCGTGGTCAAAGTGTCCATTGTGGTATCAAGATGCGCCTTTCTCGCATGATACCTACGTCGGCGTCGAGGTGAATGAACGCTTCATCTGCCTCCCGTCGCTAATCGGGTGCTCATGGGTGCAGGGAATCTGGCCTCGATAGCGCTTGCACCGCATCGCGGCAGTGATCGGAGTGGGTCGGCATCTAAGAATTGTGGCATGCCCTTTCACAGTCAGCACGAGTGAGAGCCGGTTCCTTAGAGATATAGCGCCGTTGATGTCTCCGTAGTTGCGACCTGATTGGTTCAAACCCACGAGCGACGACCATGTCCGTGTACCAACGAAGCGAGTTGACGGCGTGGACGGATAGTCGTGGGGCCGCCCATTGATGGTTCTGATACACTTACGAGTGAGGCTTCACCCAGGCAGTTTGATCCTAAATGTATTGAGCCATGATCGCCACGGGCAAGACAGGAGAAGGAAGGAGGAGAGCGGGGAGAGAACAGCTATGAGAGGGAGGAGATGGAGAGGGGAGGAGGAGGAGGAGGAGGAGGAGCAGGAGCAAGAGGAGACAGAGAGGAAAAGGAGGAGGAGGAGGAGGAGAAGAAGGAGGGATGATTTGGAAGAAAGTGTTTACAAGCACGTGACGGGAGGAGGGACGGGGGAGGTGGGTGAGCATTAGATGGAGGTACAAAGATGAGAAGGAGCAGGACGAGGGAGAAGGCGAAGGAGGCAGGAGGGAGGAGGGGGAAGGACGGAGTAGCAGGTGGAGAAGAAATTGTTCTGGACCGCTTTGATGTTAGCCATTCCGTCGACTGCGCCCGTTGCCCGCCGCCTCGTCCGTGTTCCGGGGAGCGGGTGGAGGCAGGCCGCGGATGCTGGCAGCGGGGGATGTTGGAGGCGTGAGGCGCGGAACAAGGTACACACGGTGATCTCGTGAACCGCAACGTGAATTACAGAGGAAATCCATGCCAAGAGACACCGTGCTTGTTTCCAGGGTGCCCTGGGTTTCCTGGGGGTCGATGGTTTTGAAGTGGAGAGCGTGACGTTCCCACACCGAAAATCAATGGACGCCCTGGGGTCTCAAGGTTGGGTTTCTCGTGGAAGGTCTCTTGCGGTCGAGCTCCCACCGCACCGCTTGTCCCGGAACGTGTCATCCCGAGCCACTGGAGACGGTGCGCTCGACATGGGCGATGCGAGCATGCTGCTGCCGGCGGACTGCGGGGCCCCGTGCTGCTTCGCGGACGGCTTTGCGGCAGGTGGCGCTCCGGCGACCGGCTGGCTCGTCACGCTGCCTGGCAACGCGAAGCGGCACAGTCCAGACGCCGAAAAGGTGAGGACCACTTTGGGGGCTCGGGAGGGGCTCGGGCTCTCGGGCCGCTCCTCTCGGGGTCTCGGGTCGGGGAACCCGCCTGCTCGTGGCCGAGGCTCGCCGTAGTCAGGAACGCCCCTTCTCGTTCCTTGATCTGGCGTGCCTGCTGGCAGTGCGGCGGCCGTGCTGCGACGTCGACGGAGCCGAGGGCGCTGGGGCCCGAGCGTTGGCACGCGCTGCTGCGCGCGGCACGCGGCCGCCAGGATGATGGCCTGGCAAAGGCAGCAGAGCATCTGCGGGGAGGAGGAGGGGGAGGGGAGGAGGAGGAAGGTGAGTCGGGGGCAGAGTGGAGACGAGAGACGGGGTGGAAGAAGGCGAACATGGCGAGACGAGGATAGAGGAGGTGGTGGAGAAGGAGAAAGGATGGATGTGGGAGGGGGCAGGAGGGTGGGGGAGATGAGGGATGAGGAGAGGAAGGAATTGGACGAAGAGAAGGAAGAAGGAGGGACGACGGAAGAGGGGAGGAGGAGGACGTAGAGGGATGGAGGGATGATGAGGAGGAGGTGGAGGAGGACAGAAGAGAGGCTGAGGACCCTAAGATTTGGGCGTTGCAATTTCTTACAACGGGCGTTTTCGCCCCCTTGCGGGCCCCGGGGCCCTCACAGATCGATCCGGCTCGAAAAATGATGCAGACAGATCAGGTACAGGGCTTTTCTGCGATGCTGGAATGTTTTTGCAACGTCGGAGCTCAGAGGAGGAAGATGAGGAGAAGGGACGGGGAGATCCCCACGAGGAGCGCATGTTCTGAGCTGATCCCGATCGGCTGGTCGGGTTTCTACCAGGGGGCGCCCCCTGGTGCCACGATCAATTCCCCGAACAAGAGGATGCGTCCGAGGCCGCCACTCCAAAGGAAATATGGCGACGATCACGACGACGACGGAAGGTGGGGATGAGAAAGATGAGAGTTGAGAGAAGGATGTGAGACGAGGAGGGCGAGGAGGACAACGGCGAGGACAAATGCAAGGACGAGGAGGAGGAGGAGGAGGAGGAGGAGGAGGAGGATAACATCAGGAGGAAGGGGGAGGAAGGGAGGGTGGGAGGAAGGAGGGAGATGGGAGGGAGGGGGAGGGAGGGAGGGAGGCAGGCAGGAGGAGGAGGGCGAGGCGGAGGAGGAGGAGGAGGAGGGGGAGGGGAGGGGGGGAGGAAGGGAGAGAGGGAGTCCGGGGGAGGCAGAGGAGAAGAGGAGAAGAGAGGAGAAAGCAGAGAGCAGGGAAAAGAGAGGCGACGAGGAAGGAGAGGAGAGAGGAGAGGGCGTCGAGGAGAGAGCGGGGCGGGAGACGGGAGAGCGGCGGCAGGAGGGGAAAGGGACGAGGAGGTGAGGAGGCGGCCTGCAGAGCAGCCGGGAGTGCGCGGCCGAGGTCCGCGTGCTGGTCTGGGACCCGTTCCGGGACCTCCTGATCTCCGGAGGCGTCCGGGGCGGGGCCGCTCGTGGCCCCCTTCTCGGGCCCGGGCCGGCCCTGCGCCGCCCTTCGGGGCACCTGCCCGTGCGGGCCGCTGCCGTGCCGGGCGCCGGTCCTGCCTGCTCCGCATCTCCCGGTGCTGCCTTCACCCAGAGGGTTCCAAAGGGGGTTTGGGGGGGAGGGGGTTTTCCAGAAAGGGCCCCCCAGGGGCTTCGCCCCTAGGGGGCTCTCTGGAAAACCCCCTCGCCAAAAAACCCCTTTGGAGACCTCCGGTTCACGCGGAGCAGGCCTGCTGGCCGCGAGTGTGGTGTGATGAATCCCTCAAGTCTCGTTCTGCCTCGCTCTTTTTCCCTCTCTTTCTCTTTCTCTCTCTCTCTCTCTCTCTCTCTTTCTCTATCTCTCTTCTCTCTGCTACTCGATCTCTCCCCCTCTTCCGCCGTCGTTCCTGGTTGCCGCCTGTTCCTCAGGCCCGTGGTCTTCAGGACTGCGCTTCTCCAGAGCGGCCCATCCTCAGCATCGTCATCTCTCGCACACTCCCGCCTTCTCCGCTTCCACCGCAGGGCTTCTCGTCATGCGGGGCAACACTCGGGTGTTGCCAGAGGTGGCCTTGGCCCAAGGGGACTCCCCAGCGCTTCCAGGGAAGCCAAGATGGCCCACACGCCATCCCCCACGAGGCCCAGGGGGGGCTCTGCAGTGGCGCACGAGGCTGGAGAGGCACCTTGGGTCGGGGTCACCTCTGGCAAGAACCGACCAGGGACGCGGCAGACATGCAGCATCGGGCAGACCTAGGAAGAATATACCCTTTGTTCCAGATCGTTACAGAGCCCCCCCAGGGCGTTCCGCAGCGCTCTGGAACGGCCGCGGCGCCCGACACAGGTTCCAGGCCCGCCAGTTGTCAGGAAACCCTTGTTAGTTACTTCTGCCTTCTTGTGTTTCCTTTTCTGCCGTCATCTCGACGCAGCAGTCCTGCATCCGAAGTCGTGGCTGTGGAGGTGGCATCTTCGTGTTGGCCCTGGCAGTTCTGCGGTCTTGTTTTGCTCGCCGAGCATACGGAGCGGTCCGATACATGCCAACACAGGGGTTGGATTATGTAAGCCGATGTCCAGTGGATTTGCATTCAATTCAGTCGGGGCCCTGAAGAAGGAACCCTTTTCGTTCGGGAGGGGCTCCGTGTTCCTTAGTTGTTTTACAGTGCTCCATGGGTTTTCCTGAGGTTTTCCATGGAACACCTGAGTTTAACTTATGGGAAAAAGGGTCCTCGTTCCTTATTTATCGTTCCTTAGGTCAGCGCCCCGACTGTACCGCGGTTGTCTGTTCGTATGTCACATGATCCAGAGACCCGAAACAGCACTCGCAATCAAATCGCCAGTTGCCCCAGTGGGTGTGCCACGTGGTGGCGGTCGTCGTCGTCGTGATCGTCGTTGTCGTCATCGTCGTCGACGCCTTCGTCGTCACTCGTCGACGATCACATGAGCGACAACGAGAGCAGCAAGACGTCGCGCAGCCGTGAATAGAACCTAAGCGCGCGCGAAGCGCGCGTGGTTCTAGTATGTATGTATATACAGTGTTATATCACGTATACGGATACAGATGTGTGTGTCTCCAGCTGCCTGCGGCAAGTCCCGCTGCCGTGCTAGCCCAGAATTCCGGGTGGCGGCTGTTCGAGGGGGCACGGGAGGCCGTCACGCGTGACGCCTCATGTCTCCAGGCTTGGGACGCCGCGGTGAGGATCATGAGGATGATGGGGATGATGACGACGACGTTGAGGATCGATCATGATCGAATGATGATCGGTGGTAATGATGAGGATGGTGATGATGGCGGCGATGGTAATGATCGAGGTGCTGAAGGTGGCGATGATGGCGATGGTAATGGTGATGGTGGCGATGATGATGCTGATGATGATGACGGCGAACGAGATGATGATGATGATGATGATGATGATGATGATGATGATGATGATGATGCTGATGCTGATGCTGATGCTGATGCTGATGCTGATGCTGATGCTGATGCTGATGCTGCTGATGCTGATGATGATGGTGATGGTGATGGTGATGGTGATGGTGATGGTGATGGTGATGGTGATAGTGATGATGGGAAAGAGCGTGTTCTACCGCTGCTGGCGGAAAACCGGGGGGGGTCACTACCGGTTCGAACCCCCCCCCCCCCCCCCTCCGGAAAACCGGGGGGCGGTCACTACCGTTCGAACCCCTCCCCCCCCCCCCCCCCCCCCAGCTCATCATGAAAAGGGGGGGGGGTCACTACCGGTTCGAACCCCCCCCCCCCCTCGAAAACCGAGTGGGGGTGCGGACAGTGGTGGGGACGGTGTTGGTGGGGACAGTGGTGAGGGGACAGCGGGACAGTGGTGGGGACAGCGGGGGGACAGTGGGACAGTGGTGGGGACGGTAGTGGTGGGGACAGTGGTGGGGACAATGGTGGGAACAGGGGGGACAGTGGACAGTGGTGGGAACGGTGGTGGTGGGGACAGTGGTGTGGGGACAGTGGGAATGAGGTGGAAACACTGGGACAGTGGAGGGTACAATGGTGGTGGGGACACTGGTAAGGCGGTGGCGAGGACGGCGGTGGGACAATGGGACAGAGGTACAGTGGGGACAGTGGTGGGGACAGTGGGGACAGTGGTGGGAACAGTGGGACAGCTCAGTGGGACAGCGGAGGAGTCAGTGGGACAGTGGGGACAGTGGGGATAGGCAGTGGTTGGGTCCGTGGAGACAGTGGGGAGAGTGGAACCGTGGTGGGAACAGTTGTGGGAACAGTGGGGACAGTGCGACAGTGGTGGGGGCACTGGTGGGGACAATAGGGACGGTGGTGGAACCAGCGGGGGCAGTGGTGGTGAGGACAGTGGTGCTGGGAACAACAGTGGGGGATGTGATGCGAGCGGTGGTAGGGACCGGGAGTCGTTTGCTGGCGGTGCGTGGGGGGGAGGGGGTCGAACCGGTAGTGACCCCCCTCCGGTTTTCGAGGGGGGGGGGGGGGGGGGGTCCAACCGGTAGTGACCCCTCCCGGTTTTCCGGATCGGAGGGGGGGGGGGGGAGGGGTTCGAACCGGTAGTGACCCCCCCCGGTTTTCGAGGGGGAGGGGGGGGGGGGGGAGGGGTTAGGGGAGGGGGGGGTTTTGCCGGGAGGGAGGGGGGTGGGGGGGGGAGGGGGGGTTCCAGCAGGGGGGGGGGGGGGATTTTCGGAGGGGGGGGGGGGAGACCCCCGGGTTCCGGAGGAAAAGGTTGGCAATTTTCCACAGTAAAGCGGCGGTGGATCACGCTCTCTCGATGATGGTGATAATGATGATGTTCATGATGTTGATGATCGCCATACTCATGATCAGTATCACGAGCATGATCATGATGTTGATGATAATGATGGTGATGTTGGTGCGGATGGTGATGCTAATGCTGGTGAGGATTATGATGGTGGTGACGATGATGATGGTGGCGGTGACGACGATGACGATGACGTTGATGATGACGGTGGTGATGATGGTGGTGACGATGACGGTGACTGTGGTGATTATTACAAAGACGACGATGATGACGATGTTGATTATGATGATGATGATGATGATGATGATGTTGATGATGATGATGATGATGATGGTTATGATGATCATGATCATGAGAATGATGACGACGACAATGGCGATGCCGATGCCGATGGAGATGACACTGACGGTGACGATGACGATGGCGATGTCGATGGTGATGATGGTGGTGCTGACGATGATGATAGTGATAATGGTAGAGATGGTGATGCTGGTGTTGATGGTGGTGATGATGATGATGGTGATTGTGGTGGCGGTGGTGATATGATGATATGATGATGATGGTGGTGGTGGTGATGGTGGTGATGATGATGGTGGCGATGATGATGATGATGATGATGATGATGATGATGATGATGTTGTTGATGATGATACGGATGTTGATGTCGATGCAACTGTGGATACCAATGCTGATGATAGTGATGACGATGCCGATGACAACGCCGATGACGACGACGACAACGACGATGACGACGAGGAGGACGAGGAGGAAAAGGAAACTCGTGTGGGCCGTTTTGGGGCTGTCTTTGCCGCCTGTGAGGCAGTCTTGGGGGTCATTTGGGGCCCTCTTGGGCCGTCGTGTGATCCGTTTGGCCGTATTATGGGTGTCTGTGGGCCGTCTTGGCGCTGTCTTGGGCCGTCAAAAGGCTCTCTAAGGTCGTTTTGGGTCCCACAAGAGGCATTCTTGGTCCGTCTTGGGGCAGTCGTGGATGCCCCTTGGGCCATCGTGAAGTCCTCCTAGGCCGTTTTGAGCTGACGAACAACAACAACAAAAGCCTTGCACCAGACGGTGCGCTAGCAGAGGTGGAAAATGCATCAAATGCGACACGATTGCACTGCCGACGCCCACGCTCGCTCTGCACCGCCCTCCGGGCGGAAGTACGCAGCCAGGCGAGCGGGCGTGCCGGCCACTCGTAAACAATTGTTCATCACCATGTTCCCCCAGCTCTGTCGGGGCCGGCCTCTCTTCCTAGGGCCAGATGGCGCTCGCAAGTCAAAGCTGTCAGGCTCAAAGACAGACAAACGCACGGGGTCCGTGCCAGGGCGTCTAGCAAGCTTGCCCATGAAAATCATTTGTTGTTTACAGATTTGCTCGCTCAGAGGCGGCTGTCCAGCCATGCTTAGCACGGTGCTGTTTGAGATCCTGCTAATGTAAGAATGCGGGACGCGATAAATCTTTCGATTATCGCCTTTTTGAGCTGACGGCAGCCCAAAAAGGCGAGAATACGATAATCAATCAAAGGCCCAAGGGAAATCAATGATTTGGGCTTCGTCGGGCCCTGTTGGAGGTCCTCTTGTGGTCCTTTTGGGACCTCTTGAAGGCATCTTGGGCCGTCTTGAAGCTATGTTCGGCCGCCTTGGGGCCATCTTAGGCCGTCTTCGAGGCATCTTGGGCCATCCTGGTGTCCGTGGTTACCTGCACGGGCCGTCTTGGAAGCTCCGGATGCACATCCATTGTTATATACGAGGGATCGTGGCTTGGAAGGCCCTGGAGCGCTTGGGAGCACCGCCTGGGAATGCAGGAAGTGCCTGATCCTCGAACGGATGCACGTGGGATGAGGGGCCCAGGAGGCAGCAGCCATGCGGGAAGTGCGCAATCCTCGAGCGCTTGCGCATGGAATGAGGCTTCAGGCACCAGGTGCTATACGGGAAGTATACAATCCTCGAGCGGCCACACGTGGAACGGGGGTTCAGGCATCAGCTGCCACGCGGGGAGTGCACCATATCCTCGAGCGGGCAGCGGGCTTGCATGGGGTTCAGGCATTAGCTGTCGTGTGGGAAGTGCACCATCTTCGCGGGCACGCGTAGAAGGGGGGGGGCATTAGCTTGGAAGTGCACCATCCTCGAGCGGGCACGAGGGGAGCGGCCTCGGAAAGTAGGGGCTGTGCACGAAAGAGTTTGCGTCGAGAGGGGGGGTCCCGTGCTAGAACCCGAAAAGCCTTACCGGGCACACCTTCGCATTCTTCCACGCATCAGCGTGCACAAGGCACGGTGGCAGATGTGTACACAGAAATGTATGTGCACTGAACTATGTGTACACATAAGTGTACGTATAGACATAAATGTGCTCCTGTTTGTTTATAGATAGATACATATGTGTAAATATATGTCGGTGGTGCCCGGTGCGGAGCGAAACCCTCCCCCCGGAATCGCTCGTTCTGGGGGGTTCGTGCTGGCCGCACTGGCGGTGCAGGCTGGTACGAAACCCCCCGGGATGCACGAAACCCCCCGGGGCCGGCGCGCCCCGGCACGAATCCCCCCGGGACGCCCCGCCGGTGCGCCCCGGTACGAAACCCCCCAGGATGGCCAGAGCGCGGGACAGCGCCCAGGCAGTGCGTGCGAGCGTCCAGCAGCGGCGTCGGCGGCGGCGTCGGCGACGGCGGCGTCGGCGACGGCGACGACATCCAGAGATCCTCAGAGGCCCCCGCAGCCCCAGAAGCTTCCCAGAAGTAGGGGGCCAGACGTTTTCGGAGCTTCCCGGAAGTAGGGGGCCGGCTTTCCGCAATCCCCCGGAGGTCTCCTTGGGGCTCCCCCCCCCTCCTCCAACTCCTCCCCACTCCGTCACACTCCTCGGCAATCCTCACCGCTCCTCCCGACTCTTTTCCACTCCATCGCAGTCTTCGGCCCTCCTCGGCACTCTACCCGCCTCCTCTCCACTCCATCGCAATCCTCAGCACTCCCTCCCGCTCCTCCAAGCTCCTCCCCACTCCATCGCACTCCGCGGCTCTCCTCCCAGTTGCCCCAGACTCCTCCCCACTCCATCGCCCTCCTCGGTCCTCCTCGGCACTCTTCCCGACTCATCCCCACTCCATCGCACTCCTCACCGCGACAACGACGCTGACGACGACGAGCACGACGACGACGACCACGAGGACGACCACCACCACCACCACCACCCCACGCCCACACGGGGGGCGGGGGGAGCCACCACGCCACGCCCACAGCGGGGGGGGGCCATCACGCGGGGGGGGGGGGCCGATGGCATCAGCACGAGGGGGGGGCGCCAGGCCCAGGACCATCTATCTCATATCCGTCCGTCGATCCGTCCATCCATCCGCGCCTCCATTCATCCATTTAGTCCCACTCCCACGCCCACGCCCCAAAGACCCATCCCCCTCGCACCCACGCAGCCCCCCCCCCGCCCCCACAGGAGCCCCCCCCGCCCCCACAGGAGCCCCCCACCCCACTACCACAGGGGGGAGGGGGGGGGGCGCTGGCGCGCCCGGCACAAAACCCCCCGGGAAAGAGGGAGAGGGGGGGTTCCAGGTCGTCGACGGCACCCGGCGCGCCCTGTACGAAGCCCCCCCCAGGAAGGCGGAGGGGGGGGGTTCGTGCCACGGGGCACCGCCGGCACATACGCATACGCACACACACACACACACACACACACACACGCGGACGCACATATACTTGTTCTCCACCTCTTTTTTTTTCCCTCTCTCTCTCTCTCTCTCTCTCTTTTCTCTCTCTCTCTCTCTCTCTCTCTCTCAACTCTCCCCTCGGACGGTTTCTCCCCCTCGTGGAACACCGTGATTGCCATTGCACAGTTGAAACTGGGCTGCAAGAGAATGTTGAGACCTCGCTGGGTTGAGAGATGGGCAGACAGCGTTGCCACGTCAGCATTCCATACGAGACGGTTGCCAATTAAGCGCTTGGTGCATTGTGATTTGTTCTCGGACCCTTGCGAAGGACGAAGGTTGGCTGGCACGGCAGCGGCATTCTACGCAGATCTTGCCGTCTAGTGGGATCCAGCGAGGGTGGGCAGGCGGCGATGGTTGGATCCGGATATGGAACACGCAGACGTTCGCGTTCGAACAGGACCTTGCAGCCCGCACAATGGATCATGATCCCATTTCCATTCACACGTTTGCTCTTGGGCGATGTTCTATTTCAGGGTGGACAGAATAACTTGCACGATGTTAATGTTGAGCTTGTGTGGGCCATCAGTCGTGCAAGCTTTACGGTCCAGGATTAGGTTGGCTGCATGTGCATCCCGGGTTAGCAATGTATATGTATATACATGCAGACATGTACATGCACATGCACACGTGTTCATATACACATGTTTACATATTAAACCATACACCAGGTGTACATTGATGTATCGTTGTATGTGGACATGCGCCAGGGGGGCAAAACGGGGGTTCCAACTTCCATAGAGGGGGACCAGGACCCCCTGGGCTGGCCGTGGAACTCTGGGAAGAGCGTCCAAGACGGCCCAGGAGGCCTCTAAGAACGCCCCAAGGCGAGCCCGCGACGCTCTCCAGCGGTCTTGGAAGAACCCTCTGAGGCCCAAGACGGCTCCAAGACGGGCCCGGGAGACCCCCCATGCGGCCCGGAGAGGCCCGCGAGGGCCCCCACCAAGCTCACGCAAGGAGCTCAGCCGGTTCCCCCGGTGTTCGCCACGCTGCGAGCCCGTGCCGCCTCGTCGGCGCCTCGTGGGCGCTCCGCACGTGGAAGGCTTCCCGGGTGTCCGCCACGCTGCGGGCCCGTGCCGCCTCTTGGGCGCCTCGCGGGCGCCCAATGCTCGGGGTGCATGTTGGATTCCACCACATAGTTTACATATTACACATGGCTTGCACCACATAGCCCACGCGACGTGCCTTACACCACAGCTTGCACCACACAAGTTCCACAGCATAGCTCACAACACATACCGTACGCCCCATAAGTTCCGCCTCCAGTTCACCCCGCCTAGTTTGCACCACATAGCTTTCACCACATAGCTTGCACCGCATAGTGCGCACCTCCTCACATCACATAGCTTTCGCGACATAGATTTCACCACATGGCGTACACCGCATACCCTTCATTTTCAGCTCACACAACGTTTATTATTATTACGCGGCATAACGTTCACCACATAGCTTACACCGCACAGCGTTCATGTCCACAGTGCAATAAGACGCTGCTTGGGGTCCACGCTGGCTAACCTATATAAATATACACATATATATATGTGTATATATATATATACATACGACACCAGGTCGAGGGTTCACAGGCCCCCCAGATGGGACTCGGGGAAACGACGATCACGACGATGACGACGCCGACGCCGACGCCGACGCCGACGACGCAGACTCCGACGCCGACGGACGACGCCGACGACGACGACGACAGCGACGACAACGACAGCGACGACGAGCCACCCCGCACCCACAGGGGGAGGGAGAGATTTGCACAGGCACCCTCCACCACGCCAGATCCACAATGCCACAACCACAGGGCCACAGGGGGGCGGAGCGATTCCATTCGCGAGGCCTTCGCATCCAGCAGGAGGGGGGGGGCGGGCTCGATCCCGTTTGCAATGGGGGTGGGAAAGGGGGGGCAACCTTGGATCATATGCCAGTGGTACGTGCGTGTCAGGGCTCGTACAAATCAGAGTGAGGGGGCCGAACGGTCATTCATTGTCCCTGAGTGCGTAGCTGAAGTGGGGATCCGTGGTGAGGATTCTGCTTGTTGCGTTGTCGCGTTGTTGCGTTGTTGCTGTTTGTTGTCGTCGTCCCCACCCGCGACCCAACCCGCGACCCATCCGCGACTCGCCCCGCGACCCACCCGCGACCCACCCGCGACCCACCCGCGACCCACCCCGCGACCCACCCCGCGACCCATACGCGACCCACCCGCGACCCACCCGCGACCCACTTGCGACCCACTTGCGACCCACCCGCGACCCACCCGCGACCCACCCGCGACCCACCCGCGACCCAACAGCGACCCACCCGCGACCCACCCGCGACACATTTGCAACCCACTCGCGACCCACCCGCGACCTACCCACATTGGTTTAACCAAAAAATCGGAGCTTGCGGCAGGCTCGTTGTATAATGTGTGAAATGTTGGCGCTTGCGGCGGGCTTCTCCAGAGCCTCGCAGACTGCCAACGTCCCCACCGCCCCTCACTCTTATCCGCATCTGGTGTGTAAGGTTTGTGTTGTGTGTGTTGTGCTGTGTGAGTGTTTTGTGTGTTGTGTGTTCTGCGTGTTTTGCGTGGGTTAAGCGTGGATCATGTGTGTTCTGCGTGTTTTGCGTGCTAGGTGTATAAGTTGTGTTTGTGTGTGTTGCGTGTGCTGGGTGTGTTGTGTGATATGTGTTGCTTACGTTGTGTACTAGGTGTGTGTTGCGCCGTGGGCCGTTTCACAACGAGGGCCCCTGGAGCTCTCGACCCGGTCCACGCGGCTGTTGCGTTTCGTCGCAGGTCGATCTTTGCAGCGGGTCCCGTAGCTCGATGACGACCCCGTCGACGGCGAAGTCGTGGAACAGCGCTCTGGCTTCAAGAGTCTCCTCCGCCCTGTCGCCAATCACGTCCGGGCCTCGCTGGCTCGTCACACGGCGAAGCCCTTTGTGCTGTCACGGTCCTTTGATCAGCGCTTGAACCAGAGCGAGAGTGATGGTATTTATCTATACATATATACACACACATTCACACATATACACTTACCTATATGTATGCACACATGTTCACACAGCCACATGCATTGTTAACATAGTTATGGAGTCTTCAGGCAGTGGCAAGCAAATGGCTGACCGTTTGTTCAAGACTTCCCCAGTCCGAGAGAAGCTTCCCCGATTGTACAACATCATGGCCATATTATCTTGAAGTGAAGTAGTCGGTCATGCTGAGTTTCAAAAATTGTCATGTCTGCTGGGGGGAGCATGCACGTGCACACACACACACACACACACTGGTGTTCCGAAAAGTGGCATGATATCCTATGTCAGCGCATTACGTATGTCTGACGTTTGGATTGCTATGGATTGGTGCGAAGCTGTATGGTCTTGTTTGGTATGGCATGGTATGGGATTGCATGTTCACGCGTGTTGGTATGAATGTGAGTGTCGCATGAAGTGTATGGCAACAGATCGTGCGCACAGTGCAATAGATGTTGCTACAAGCGGCCGGTATAGTGCGCAAGCGTTGTTTGGTACGGATGTGCGCGATGTGTACAGTCGGCCCCGATTAGTAGGTCGACCCTGACAGCTCAAGGGTACCCTTGTGTCCTGTGCCTCGCGACACGTGCCTCCTACATCCCCCATGGCGATGTGGCCCTCGGAAGGGTCTTGTGTCCTCTCGCGTGTCCTGTCCAACCAATGCCGACTGTATTGCACCTGTGTTACGTATGTTCGATGACATGTGTTCATTATGCATCCGATGGAATGTGTGACCCGTACGTGCGACACCTTGCAGTGCAGCCCATTCTTTCCTTCCCGAGGGGAAGGAGAGGGACGGGAGGTGGAGCAGGAGAAAAGGCGGAGAAGGAAGACGAGGAGGAGGGGTAGGAGAAGGTTGAGCAGGAGGGTTATTTCCCACTCCCCCCATGAATACTCACCCCCTCCTCCTTCCGTCCCCCCATTGGAAACGTCCGGAAGCCACCCGAAAGTTTCCAATGACGTTGAAGCAGCAACAAACATGATTATATGCATTCTTCCTTCTTCCTCATCCTCCCCATTTCCCTCGTCCTTATCCAGAGCGAACCGTTGCGCAGCGCAGCCTAGGCTGTCAAAGCAGAAAGGAGGGCCTCGCCCGTGAGCAACCAGGACGCTCCGCCTCCGACGGGCGCATCCTCCTCCTCCTCCTCCTCATCCTCCTCCTATTCACCGATCGCCGAACGCGTGAATCCTATTTCCTAACCTTCGCCAAAGCTGTGAAGATGACAACGGGCATCCCCACCAAGGGGAAGATCCCGAAGTTGCCGAGGCTGTGCAGCAGACAGACACCGGAGGCAACGCTGTGCCTTTTCCTCCTCCTCCTCCTCCTCCTCCTCCTCCTCCTCCTCCTCCCCATCATAATTTGTCCCACTGCCCCGCCTCTCATGCCCTGCCGCCCGAAGAGAGGAGCTGGACGCGCAGCTGAGCGTGCGCTCCGTGCTGGTCGCGGCCGCTCCCGCGGGAGCCGTGTTGCGCCTTGGGGCCGCCGGCTGTTCTGAAGGAGGGGGCCGAAGAGGAGGGGGGGTAGGGGGAGGGGGGAGGAGGAGGGAGGAGGAGGAGGAGGGAGAGGTGGAGGGGGAGGGGGAGGAGGAGGAGGAGGAGGAGGAGGAGGAGGAGGAGGAGGAGGAGGAGGAGGAGGGAGGAGGAGGAGGAGGAGGAGGAGGAGGGGGGGGGAGGAGGAGGGGGGAGAGGGGCAGGGGGAGGCAGTTTGTCTCTTGCGGCCTGTGTCTGGCAGCCCCGTGGCGCGAGGCAGCGGCCCTTGAACCCGAAGGAATCCGAAGGGGAAGTTGGAGGGAGGAGGAGGAGGAGGACGAGGAGGAGGACCAGTGTAAACCCAAGACGCGTTAGCGAGGCTGCAATAAACCCTCCCTCCAACTTCGTCTTCATAGGCCCCCACAAAAATATCTGTTCAATGCGGGCAGTGGCCCATTAGAAGACAGCCGTCTGAGAATCCTCGAGTTTGCCGAAACACCATTCATGCGGTTTCAACGCCGCGGATCACAGTCATTCTTGTGTCCTGACAGTTTCTAATATTGCCAAAAACCCGCTCCTGGGATCCCAACACAGCGAATAACGTGCCTGCTGCGTCCTGATAATCCGGATGTGTGCCAGAACACATGCTCGGGACTTCAACCATACGAACCCTTGAAACTTGCGCAAACTGTCAAGACGAATGTTCGCGGCGCTAAACGAAATCCACATTCTGAGAAGGACCCGCCCTCTACCCTTAAGCAGTAGCAAACTTCAAAAACCAACGTGCGGGGTGCCCAAGGCGAGAGCCACGGCTTGAAAGGGCCCGCCCTCTGCCTTGGAAGCTGTCGCAAATTCTTAAGACCAGTGTGCGCAGCGCGAAGATGAGAGCCACAGTCTGAAAACCACGGATCTGCCGCCCTTGACACCGCTGCAAACATTTAAGACACATGCGCGCGGAGCTAAAGCGAGAGCCGCAGTTTAAAAACGGCCCGTCCTTCACCCGTACAACGGTTGCAGATCTCAAGATTAAGGATGATAAATGGTGAGGAAGTTTCAGGCGTCACGCCCGGCCCGCCCTTCCAGCACGTGCGGGGGGGTGCGACAGGGGGGAGTTGTCTATAAGGAAAAGGATGGAGGAGGAGGAGGAGGAGGAGGAGGAGGAATTCGAGGAGGAGGAGGAGGAGAAGGAGGAGGTCGAGGACGAGGAAGAGGAAGAGGAGGAGGGAATGGAGGATGATTTTCTACCTGCCGGTTGCCCACAGGGCCTCCTGGCATGCTAGTTTGATCAGGCCCCACCCCGGGCCGACCAGCCCCAGAGGGGGGGAGGGCCTCATGGCCGAAAGAGAGAGAGAGAGAAGAAAAAAAAGATTGGAGGGGAGAATGGCTGGGCTGCCCTCCTCCTCTGTCATCTCCCTTGCTTTCCGCCTCGCTCGCTCGGCTCCGCTCCTATTCCTCTCCCCGCTGTCCAGGCCCTCTTTTGTTTTTGTTCTCGGCCAGGAGGGTGTGGAGGACATGCGAAGATGCCTGTGCGCCAAACGAGGGGAGGACAACGAGGGGGGTGATCGGGCGGGGGGAGGGCGGAGCGGGAGGGAGGGAGGGAAGAACAGAAAGGGGGAAACGACGGGAGCAAGGAGATGGGTCGTACT